TCTATCAAGGTTTTTTTTCTAATCACAGATTAGTTTATAATGATTTTTTTTAAGTGAGTAAGGGAGATATTTTTAAACCACAGGCAGATTTATCTGTACACATATTACACCAAAAATATAAATAGTGTCTGGCAAAGTGGGGTTGACATTTTATAAGATGTCTACACATATCTATGATCACAATTGCTCCTCATGGCAGTACAGCAAGACCAACCAGGGGAGATATATTTATATCAGACTTTCAAACAAGCAAATAATTGTTCTGAGAATTTAAGTGGCTTCTTCAAAGTCAAGAGACTCTTAGTGGTCTAGGTCTTCTGATTTCAAATACAATGTTCTTTCCCTTTCCCTACTAGTGTTAATAACAAAATGCAGCCAAGATAATTTTGATCAATTGACCTGAAACTCTTCAAACTCCCATTTGTTGATTGGTATGCTCATAACTACTCTCAAAATTCCCCATCATCTCTCTTAACTACTGATAGCTATACAAATGAATACGTGAGACCGGAAAGTACACTGATAGCTATTTGGTATCTGCACTATTATTATAATTGTAAATAGTTAAAAGTTATTAAAATATTTTAAAGAATACCACAGAAAGCACTTTTATTTGCTGAACAATTAAAGATAGCTTGGCTCTATGAAGCTCAGGGATATTACATTTAATAAAAGCATAAAAGCACTGGTTGCATCTTAAAGTGCTCTCATATCAGATAATTTGGAAAATTAAAACTAATTTATAATCTTTTAAGTAGGCCTGTCTTCAATATAATTGGGATAGTATAAAGAGCACAAGGAATTTAGAATCTAGGTCAATAAAACTTGAAAAACAATGATTTTCCTTTTACAAGAATATTAAAGTTATTAAATTAATTTTGCATGCACCAACACCCAGAGGATTAATTTTATTTTGGACCCAAATAGCAAAAGCAATTCAGACTCGCTCTACCACTTATCGAGCACTTTCTTCACGCTCTTGAAAGTTCACTGCTATGAGAGATGACCCTGAAAACAGATAAATTAAAATCATTTTCCAAATGTCAAAAGGCAGAGAAAGCAGCAGGGCTAGTGGTTCCAGGACCTTCAGATTGACAACCCTGTTTCCCTCTGCATTGCTCCCTCACAAGGAAACAGACATAAACAAATTACACCCTTCAGCTTGGTTACCAGCCTCAATCTCTGCTAGGTCCCTTCTCAGTCCCAATACAAACTAGTTCTACGTTTGAAGGGACGTCTTTTTTTTTTTTACTAAATTATATGAAGTTTGACTTTCTTCTTGTACTGAATGAGGTTCTTTTGTTCCACTAATTGCTGTCTAATAGGACATTACCTCTGGGAGAACATTAGCCCCTGGGTCACTGAAAAGACTCATTGGACACCAAGGACCCACCAACTTCCCTTCTTGCTCTCTGGACTCCAAAATCACTGAAGTGACCAACTGCTCTGCTTAACTCCTTTGACATAAAACGTGGACGGAAACATTCTGGGTATTCACTGATAACAATGACATTAATGTGCATAGCCTATCTTCTCTAAGTGCAAATGAATATGGAGTTGATTCAGTAGGCACCTAGCACAAGGAAGTCTACCTCAGAGAATTAGACCAGGGTAGATAGAAGAAGGATGGGTAACACCCTTCACAGAAGATAGGTCTGTGGAGACCTTCCTGTAGACCTGACACTGGTAGACATCCACACACCTACGCTTTATTCTTTGAAGGTACACTTTGCTAATGAATGATGACTTCACCATAAAGCACTTCACTATAAAGAGTAAATATAAGCAGATGCCTGTACACGTAAGCCATTAACTGGGCAATTCACCCCCCTGTCCCCCTGATTTTGGCTTAGGTAAGTATTCGATGTATGGTTGAACTGGACTGTAAGAAGGATGGCTAGCTCTGTTTTTACCTTATATTTTCATACAACAATGCTTCTATTTTGTATATGTGAACATCCGGTAATAGACCTTAATCATACTTGGGTCCTTTTATTTTTTTTGAAGAAGGGACTTATTTTAGAAATTAAAAAGGCTTCAGGAATACAACACATTTATACTACAGTTTGGGAATCTAAATTGACATAGATCTAAACAGCAAATGCACTGTGACCCCAGACTCAAGTTATCACTTGAGATTTCTGATGACAGAGGATGTGACCAAGTTTTGAATACAAAGAAAACGTAATTGCAGAAGTTAGAATTATAGAACCTCCTTTCCATTGACAATTAAATTCAGACTTGACAATGAATCCCAACCTCACTTCATTAGATATTAATCTTGCGGTGGAAATGGCAGGCTTTTAAAGAGGCATTTCTGCTACAATAGAAAAGGCTCCTGCTACAGTAGAACAATAATAACATTGTGCTGAAAGTTAGAAATGGAACTATTAGGCCGTGTTAGCTAATTATAGTATTGGCATCCACTTAAGTTAGTCCGTTTTTCATTTCTGTCATTTTCTCCTATTCAGCTGCTGCCGTTCAAAACGTTTTGACTTCTTAAAAGGGAATACATCATTGTTGCCTTTCCCCAGTCGAACGGCACACCACTTTCCAAAGCAATAGCTTCAATCACGCTTCATAAAATCCCCTGCAAGTGTATTGTTGGAAACATAAATCAGCAAGCTAGGACTTGGGTATTTCTAAGGAAAGCCCCGGGATCACGCGCTGGAGGCTTTTCCACGGCCCCCTTTATAAAAGAATAAACAAAATTATGAGTTACACTAGGTTCATTTAAAAAAAAAAAACTGCTCCCAGTGGTGTGTCTGATACTTGCTGCTACATCCTTAATTGGAGAACAAAACCCTAGCAGAGAGGGATTGGACTCCCGGATCAGGCTTGCTGTTTTTAAACATCTCTGACTTCATTAGGACGCAGGACACAGAAGTACTACATGCTTCCGTTTCACAAAAGCGAAGGCTCTCTGGTGTGCCTCTCTGCCTCTCTGAGTGTCATGCATTTTTAAATTGCACTAGATGGAGAGATCTGTAGAATGATGCTGTCCTCACCCCTGTTTTATTACAGTGAACAGGGGCTCCCCTTCAGGCAGGCTTCGCTCGTAGAGCTCCTCTTTATAATGACCCTGCATTCTGAATTATAAATTATGGGAATCACGATTTCAGATATATGTTACCTACCCAGGCTCAGAGTATGTGACTGTGTGTGCTAGTTAAGCATCCCTAGATTTCCCTCGTATTCCCCAAATTCCAACACACTTGATGTCTACATTGGTAAACTCACAGACTCCACAACTGAGAAATTTTTTTCTTCTCCACATCAGTGACAATGAAATCGTAAGCCTGCATAAACTTGCTTCTTCTTATGCCCCCATCTTGCTCTACTACACCATCTACACTTGGTTAATTGCAGTGGTATTTTAACTACAATTTTCAGGGACTGCTTCTTAGTATTCAGAAATACCTGTCTATATTATAAATGAACGGTTAAACACAATCAGCAGCTCTCCCAAAATTAAAGCAGCATAGGTACAGGGTAGAAAGTATATGTTGATTTTTTCCCCTTAATAGTGTCTGAATGAATCGATTGGGCTAATCTGATCTTCAGATGGATATATCTGCAATTTTGCTATGACTGAAAATTTTCATACTCTGTATTATTAAGGGAAAATGAGCAGCATCTTACCAAGACACTTTACAAACTACAGCAACATCCAGTGTTTGCATTCTGAACATAAAATCTGCATCCGTTTGTGTTTCATCAACCACTAACACGATAGCTTTAGGGAGGAGAAGGGCAGAGAAAGGAAGGTTTCATATCCAAAATGTCAAACCTTGCTGAAGAATGATAGAAGGACCAGTGAGTGTAGAAGAGCAGAAAGAACCATTTCTAGGATTAAAATGGAGTTCTACCACCCCCTGCTGGACCATATGACCAACGCAGAAGAGGCTAAAAAATGCTTAGAATTGAATATAGTGGAGATATTTTAACTTGTCTTGTAATTTGTTTTTCCTCCAAAAAGAATTTCATGCTACACTAATAATATAACATTCTCTGCAATTATCAAGCATCCCCAAAATCACCGTTTTCTTTTTTTTTTTTCAAAGACTTCCATCAATGCATATTTTAGCATTTTGTGTCCCCAATTAAATGTCCAAACTTGTCTGGATAGTTGAAAATGCCTCCATTTATTATAAATATGTTTTGTGTGAATCTGAACTACCTTAAAAAAAAGCAAAATAAATTCACATCTACCTCTATTCCGAAAAGCAGAGGTAGCTTCCACAAATTATCTCTCAGGTTACTCTAGCATGCTATTCATGTTTTTTCTTCTTAAGAAATAAAAGCTCCCACCAGTTCTCCACAAGCTTAAAAAAAATCCCTTCAGGTATAATAGCAATCTGATGTTACCAAAATCTCCAACCTCGATGTATTAACAGGGGGTGGGGAGGGTTAAAATGAATGACTGCAACATATCCCTAGTTTTATCCATTTGCTTTCTTACACAACATCCATGGCCCCTCTCTCATCTCTTAGTTTCCAGCAGAAAAAAGGCATCATCATTCACTTCACAGTCAGGAATTGGGGTCTTGGGAAAGGGGAGGGGGGTGTCTAAGAATTGCATTTCTTGCACAGAACACCTATTTCCCAAACGAGTTTCATTCTGATAGTTTTCACTGCTTCTGTAAAACAACCTCGTTCCCTTTCCTTCCGCAATTTCAGATATTTACCTGTTCACACACACCAACAGACTCATCCAATTTTTGACAATGAAACCAGAGAAAGCCAAGACCCCAAGGGGGGAGAGAGAGGGGGGAAAAAAAGGGCAGTTTGTCTCAATCTCCTGCTCTCGGATGCCCATCTCCAAATCTGCATTCCCTCTTCTTGAAGAGACAGAGATGCAATTGTTCGCAGCCGCGAACATCACCGCAACCACCACACACCACTAGAACTTTAGTTCTTTCCTTGCCATCCTCTCCTGCCTCCCCGGGTTGGGTGGAAGGGGGAGGGAAAGTCAATGCCATAAAGCACCGCACTCCTACCTTGCCCGCGACTGACAAGCAACCCGAGCAGGTAGAAGGAGAGCAGGAGGCTCATGTTCAGGACGTGCCACCGGCGGACACTTGCAAAGTTCTTCGGTCCAGCCCTGGAGAGAGACCCTTCCGCCGCCACGGCCGCCTCCGCGAGAGCCGCCGCCGCTCCCGGGTGCCCCAGCCGCCCACAGCCCGCGCGCTCCTCCTCGCCAAGTGCCTGCCGGCTCCGCTCCGCGCCGCACTATATCCAGGCGGCGGCGGGAGCAGCTGCA